TGGTCTAGTGAATAACGTCTTGACATTTGAAACTATGGGCTCTGGGTTGAAGCCTCGTTGGGAACATCATCACTGATGACGAGTCCCAAATAGGACGAAATGCGCATGCTGGTTGGATTCCACTGCTAGTCACCATCCATCAGTTTAACTTCTAGTGGAAAATTAGTCCTGATAAGTTGATCGTGAATAAACTCTCAATAGTTTAAAATGGAGGGCTAGAACTTTAGCATAAATACTAAATTGCCGCCTTTAAAAGACCTGGTATGGCCGATGATCACGGGGGGGGGGGTAAACTTCGGTCTTCCTCTCTGTCTGGAAATGCTTGCTGCCAGTGTAGTTACGCGTTTATAGTGGTGTACTTCTGCCTGGTAAATTGTTCTATTCATTGGCTTCCTTCAATTGGCAATAGGAGTGTTCCCCACAAAGGTGAAAGGGCAAATCCGACCATCTGACAATTAAAACCTGACTGGTGGATATACTGGTCTACGTAGGAGTAGTGGTGTACATGCCTTCCATAATCCGAAATGAACCGAATGGTGTACGAATCTGTTTTGGTTACTGGAAACCGTGGAAACGTGTAGCTTCTGACGCTACTCAATACACTGCCTTATGGATCAAACTTCAAGTGAAAGACTCGTTCAGTGATGGCCCCTTAAGACAACCATTTTGTTTCGATCTAGGCGTCTTGGCATTTCCCTGAACCCTTGCAAGATCTATGAGATTTTCTGCTGCACATCTTTTGATGCCCATACATAGTGTACTAAGTGTACGATTTCATAAGTAATACTACTAATAATAATATAAATGCCAAATTAAACTTGTTTGCTTTTGAAATAGAATGCACGATGATACGATATTAGGCAAAGATCTCTTTTTTTTGTTGTTGATTGGACAGTAGTCAGTAACTGGTATAGTGTGTGTCTAGTCCCCTGTCTTCGGTGCAGACTGAATTCTATCGTCAGTCAACTTTGAAATGTGGTCACCATGCCACTAGTTGGCGGTTCTCCATCACACTGCACTGTATTATTATTATTATTGTTCCCTTGGGTTCCTAGTGGAACATAAGGCTTCAACTACACATCTCCACTTGGTTCTGTCTTCTGCTGTACTTTTCACTTGCATCCATGTTAATCCATATTGTTTCAATTCCTTTTCACACGATCTCCTCCCTTGGACGCCATCTGATCTTGAGTATAGAACGAAGACAGTTGTTGATAAAGGTCTGCAACAGGCTGTTGGAAATATTCTTTGTTTCTGATCCGTTTGTATTGAAAATCGGAATTTTGTTGTTGATGCTGAGTGACAGCGGAAGATTTCCAGATTGGTTTCAGGTTGATGAATGTGTTTCTCGCCTTGATTCCCGATTCTCGATTTGACATCCTCGTCGGTTCCTCGTGTAGTCGAGACAATGCTCCCTAGATAAGTGAATGAAGTAACGTCTTTCAAATCCCCCCCGTTGATGGTGATTGGCGCTGGATGTTGTTGCTGCTGTTGTTGTTGTTGGTTGGTTGGTTATTTTCATAACCTCCGTCTTGTCTATGTTCACCTGGAGTCCTGTCTTTGCTGCTTCTTCGCTGAACTGTGAGTTGTTGATATTAGGAGATTGAAGGCAGTCGATCACACGAAGACTTGTTTGACCTAGGTTTTTTGCTAGTTAGCTGGCACTCACCAGTCAGCAAGGTGTATCTGCAACCAACTTGAAGGAATTCATGTCCCTCCTTCTGAGATTCGAATCCACGTCACTCAGTGCTATCTGCAGTCAGAAAGAGAGAGGGAGAGATGTTACCATTGAGCTATTCGGGCTCTGTTAAATAATCTGTTGAACACACACACACACAATTTATCCCCAAACTTTACTAAATCAGTTCACACATCTTTTCACTGGTTTTTCGTTTTTCAGTATTAATGTAAGTATTTTAGATTCATTATTATAATAATATTATTGTTATTCATTCTCTGTGGTCGTTTACGGTTTTCCACAGTGTCACCTTCATCTAGCTTCACGTCGACTCAAAAACTCAAAAACTTCTTCCACAGAGTAGTTTCCATATCAACCCAACCCTTGTATACATCCAACCCACCACATTTTCCATTCGAAAAACTTAGCCACTTGGATGAATTGCTAACACACGTAGATTTCAATTCGGAATTATAAAGTGTGTTGTTTTTTTCAGGAATTTATGGATAGCTGGGGAAATATGGCTCTTAATACGTTTAATCCTACTCCAAAAATATACTGGAGATATGTGGATGATACTTTGAGTCACAGTGTCATAAACAGAGCATATCTCTAGCTTCTTGACACACATAAACTCACTAGTAGAGGGAATAAAATTCACATTTGAAGCGGAAAATGAACAAGGAGAATTAGCTATCATGTTATATGGTAAAATAAAACGAATAGAAGAAGGTAAACTGCACACTAGTGTTTATAGAAAACCAATGCATTCTAATAGAGTTCAATTCACCTCATCCTTTAATTGTTAAGGCAGGCTTAGTTAAGTGTTTAACAAACCGAGCAATGGCACTAAGTAGCACAAAAAAAAGACCTAAATGATGAAATAAAACAGATAGAAGAGGCGTTGGTGTTAAATAACTATCCTTTAAAATTCATTAGGAAGATTGACAAAGGCCAAAAGAAAGGTAAAAAGAATTGTGAAACTAGTAATAATAACATAAATAAGAGAGAATATAAGTCATCTACAGTTATACCATATCAAGAGGGGACATCTGAGACCCTACGTAGGATTCTCAATAAAGCAGGAATTAGGGTGGCATTCAAACCTACAAACTCACTCAGGGACAAACTCTGTAGGTTAAAGGACCCAGTTGACCCAATTAGACAAAATAATATAATTTACAAAATACCCTGCAATGACTGTCAGTTAGGTCAACTACATAGGTCAAACTAGTAGGTCAGGGGTAGTCAGATTGTCAGAAGATAAGAATTTAGCTAAGATAAGAATGGTTGACCCCGAGAAAATAAGTAATTTAGAGAAAAGCTCAGCAATTGCAATGCATGCATTAGCACACTACCACACAATAGGGTGGGAGAGGGTTAAAATTCTAAAAAGTAATCTAGGTAGGTGGAGTGAGAGGTTGAGAGGTATGGAATCCTTGTTCATCGAGTGGATCTACACCCAACACACGTGCAATAGGAATGATTCATCACTCATACCCGAAATATGGAAAATATTACTACCAATCATCCGGTTATCAACCAAGGGACGTGTGTACTGCTCAGAAGTTCCCTCCGCCCTCCTCTATGGCTCTGAAACATGGCCAATACGAGTTGAAGACATAAAAGGGTTGTCTGCTTTTGATGATAGATACTTACAATCTCTTTCTCACGTTAGGTGGTATAATAAGGTAAGTAATGTTCACGTTAGACGTAGAGTGTTGGGCAAAGAGGGAAAATCAATCGAAGAGGTTATAAAGTTACATAGATTGAGATGGCTAGGTCACGTGGTGCGCATGCCTAACCGTCGCCTCCCCCGACGGACGGGCATTACTAGCTGATATATAGGTGCAGGTTGGAAAAGAGTAAATGGTGGCCAAACAAAAACATGGCCTCATCAATCCATGAAATCCCTGACAGTTAAACTGAGTCAGTCAGGTAGGGAGGGAGGTGCAGACTTCCGGGTTGGGGCCCATCCTCGGGACTCTAAGAATCAATGGCTGGAGACAAACAATAGGCGACATGGCTCAAAATCGTTGTCAATGGCTAACGCAGATGTATTCAGTCTCTGTAATCTTTCATATCCCTGTTTCACTATTATACTTGTCAAAACTCTATTGATTCTCTTCACTCATTATCTTGTTTACTTTTGTGTGCTATTTGGAAGGTGGCAACTCGAACTGCTGCACTTTAGTGCCAAGATCTATGTTGAATCCAGACAGACAGACAGACTCACTCACCGCCATGCCAGGGTTCGAACCCAGAATCTTCCGGTTACAAGGCAAGCTACCTCATATTACCATTCAGCCACTGGAACCCGATCATCCAATGGCCAGCCAGGCAGTCCATGAATTCTAACTTCTACCAATTCGTGATGCATTTAACGCGACTGGCACAAACCAATCGGTGGTCATCGGTGGGACATCCATCCTCACTGGTCACGACTTCTCACTAGAACTCACTTCAGGAAACTCTGTCCTTTAGAGCAAATCACTCACTAGCGAGCATCAGGCTCGGTTGGTCGGTCTGTTTTCGACATAGAACTTTGCACATATGTGCGGCAGTTCAAGTCGCCACACTCCCTCCTTGTAGCACACAAAGCAAGAGAAGAAGGTAGAAGAAATGCAAAATAGAGACAGTAAACAGAGGTGTGAGACAAAGGAATAGTAATAAAGAATAACAACATAGTTTCCTTGGAAACCATAAGTCACAAGGAGTGGATGCATCTGCGCCAGCCATTGAAAACAAGGATTTTGAGCCATGTCACCAATTGTTTCCAACCATTGGTTTTTACCGTTCCGAGGACCCCAACCAATCAGGAAGTCTACATCTTCCTACATGGCTTAGACTAACTGTTGTGGATTTCATTGACTGGTGCCATGTTTTCGTTTGACCGCCGCTAGCTCTTTTCCAGTTTGGCCCTATATCAGCTAACATTGCCCATTGTCGAGGAAGGCGATGACTAGGCATACGTAACACATGTTCTAACCATCTCAGTCGATGTAATTTCACAGTCTCGTCGACTGATTTCCCCACCTTACCTAGCACTCGACGCGTGACCTCAATATTGCTCAGCTTATTATACCACTTCACGCTGGAGATAGAACGCAGGCACCTATGATCGAAGACAGCTAATCTTTTCATGTCTTCTTCGTCATCAGGCTAGTTTTTTTAAGAGTTTTGTTTGTAAGGAATTAGATTTGTTCTTTTACGAGTTGATGTAATGTCTAATGCATATCTCTTTTATTTCTCCATCTCTCTCCTCCCCCCCCTCACTAACCAGAATATCTTCCAGAGCAGTTGTATTTACTAACAAAATTAGAATCATTAAATGTGAGTAATAATCTTCTAGTGAATTTTATCAATCCAAGTGCTATTGTCAATCTTACGGAATTATCTTGTCTACGTACTGTGAATCTATCGAATAATTATTTAACTGAATTCCCTGTCGAATTGTGTATCTCATCAATACCAATTAATGTGATTGATCTTTCCAATAATAAAATTACTATAATACCAAATGCTGTATCTGCTTTACAGGTAAGTTAATACTACTTTTTGTTGGCGTTGTAGCTGTTGTTGTTGTTGTTGTTGTTGTTAACGAGTTGTCATCTGAGATGGTGACAACTAAGTGGTGTCCGTCAGGTGGGGGGGGGATTCCCACCACTATCCTCATTTCTATTCAATTTCATCATAGATGTACTCACTTCAGCGACTCAGGGATTCACTTCATACGAGCCAGCGAATAATCGCGTTGACTTAGAATATGCAGATGATATAGTCCTCCCTCCTAGGTGAAGATGCTGACAAAATGCAGAGTCTTCTAATAAACACCTTGAGGAGTAGTAATCTGTGAATGTTTGGCGTGCGATTCGCTCCCCTTGTCAAATGTAAGATGATGTTATAGGAATGGACTACATTGACTCCTAGCTTAGAAATAGAGAGTGTAAGATCAATTCAATTCCCATCCTTGAATCAAGTCAACCTGTCCCGGATCAGCCTAGCGTTGTTGCAACCCAATTATCCATGCCTAACGTGTCTATCCCACCTTGTTTAATGAACTGTGTGTGTGTTTTTACTTCGATCCGTTTAGTCAGATAGTTGAACTCATGACCCAATCAGAGTATTTTTTGTGAACTGTTATTTTGCTGACCCATGTCTTACTTTGTACTATTCTGTCGAGTTTATCTTATTTATTGATTGGTTAAATTGCCAATTAAATTCTATCTTTGTGTCTATGCTCTGTCTATCTCTTACTTGGGTTCATTCTTCTACTGACTGCTTACCTGAACGGTCGTGTCTGATTCCGGCTAGTTCGCAATTTTGGCTTTAACGTTATTCCGCTCTGATAGCGGTGCCTTGCTTTCTGTTAAGCGTTAAGCTTTGTACTCTTGAAACCGTTAAGGTTTGTTGTATATATATATATATATATATATATTGATTTGTTTATTAATAGTATCGTAGAAACAGTGACCGGCTTCTTGTTTGTTCTGGACCGGGATAGCCTTTATCTACGCGTGACTTAATTTCAAGCGATATTGCGCTTACAGGGAGTGAAGTGGTAGAGCACGTTCATCGCTTCACTTATTTGGGAAGTTGCATTAGCCAGTGCCAACGGGATGATCGCTAACGAAATCTCAGCATGGATATAGAAGGCTCATTTCTCATATGCTAGTTTACGTCGTTTCTGGCGTAGACGTGATATTCGGCTGGCTATCGACCAAAGGCGAGTATACTGCTCAGCAGTCCGCTTCGTCCTCCTTTATGACTGGCTGTGAGACCTGACCACTGAGAGTGGAAGACATGAAAAGGCGGCCGACTAGCTGTTTTTGATCATAGGTGCCTGCATTCTATCTCCTGTGTGAAATAGTATAATAGGGTGAGCAATATTCAGGTTGAGCATCGGTCGAGTGCTAGGTATGGAGGGGAAATCAATCGACGAGGCTATGAAGTTACACCGATTGAGATGGTTAGGACATGTGTTACGTATGCCTAGTCATTGCCTTCCTCGACGGGCAACGTTAGCTGACATTGGATCGGTGCAAAGTTGTATGTCGAAAACAGACAGACAGTTACTTAGGATTATGGTTTTGTATCTATCCTAAGAAAACTTCCCAATTTCCCCGCATAGCAGTCCTTATAGTTAGGTTAAACTGACTTCTGCCATATAAATTCGTCGAGATAAAACTGTATACGTCAACATGTTTCTTTACTCATTCACCGCTGTGATCCTCTTTTGTAGATGACTCTAGGAACTCTCGAAGCTTGATTCCTATCATTATAATCATCTTCCTATCTTCCGACCTTACTTGGACATCTCATATCCTAACGATTTCTAAGAAAGTGTTCTGTCTAATCTACTACATTAAGAAACTAAGACAATCTGGAATCACCCAACCTCTACTTTCACAATTTGTCAACTCTTGTATCTTACCTATTCTACTTTACTGCTCCCCGTTAGTCTTTCCTGGTCTACTGAAAAAGGACTATACCATCCTGAGAAGGATGTTAAAGGTAGTCAGTAGGACTAGTGGTGTAAAACGCAGTCAGCTCGTCACTACATTAGTTGAAAGGCATCTGAATACATGCGAAAAATGGTCTAAAACCATACTCTCCGACCCCCAACACCCCCTCTATTCCCAACTCTCGCCTTGTATCTCATCAAGTAGTACCAGAAATCAGTATGAAATAATCTATGCTCGTACAACCAAGTACAGGAACTCAACGATACCATACTTGGCTCGTGTTCTAAGTGACAGAGACAATGTTATGTTATGATTCCCAAATCTAATAATATAAATAATGACTGCTTCTCATGTTTTAACACGAATGATGTCCTCAAGTGTCTTCCATCTCTCAAACCTACCCAGTCCCTTGGTCCTGATGGAGTTCCTGCTGTTATCCTTAAGAAGTGTGCTGACATCTTATGTTACCCATTAACCGACATTTTCAATGAATCTTTTTCCAAAAGTATTATTCCTGACTCATGGAAAAATATCAAGGTTGTTCCAGTGCCCAAATCAACAAGTGGACCTACTGTCAAGTTTAGACCCATTGCTATTACCTCACCTTTTTTAAAAGTTATGGAAAGACTTATTTTACTTAATCTTGAACCCTCTTTAAAGCCTTTTAATGACCCCAACCAGTTTGCCTATAAACATGGTAGGTGTACCTTAGATGCCGCTGTAGTTCTATATCATAATATGGTCTCTAGTTTAGATAGAGGAGCCAAATATGTTCGGTGTGCCTTCCTTGATTACACATCTGCATTTGACTCTGTACCTAGGTCTCTCTTGTTAAGTAAGCTTGCTGCAACACAGAGTGAGAGCTGGATAAATAAGTGGTTGTATTCCTACTTTTCTGATAGGAAGCAGTACACTGTCTACAATGGAAAGTCCTCCACTACCTCACTTACTTTAGCTGGTGTTCCTCAAGGTGCTGTTCTTTCTCCTTTTCTGTTTTCTTTTTTCTTACATGACTTGCCCCATTCTGATGTAGCAACTTTTGTCAAGTATGCTGATGACTTCTCT